GCCCCCCCAGGACGTGTGTGTGAAGGCCTACCTAACTCTTCGACATCACACCAACCTGCTCATCATCCTCTTCTCCATGATGTTGATGACTGGTACGACCCCTGGTGGTGGTTACCGCCGGTTACAGAAATAATCCAACACTAATAATTGAATCCAAATGTAACGGCGGTGGCTGTGGTTCTCCTCCTCAGGGATGCCTCAGCTCACCAGTAAGGAGGACATCGTCTACATCCGCGAGGCCCTGACTGTTGGCCGCAACGAGGACGAGGCAGAGCGCCACCTACTGGACCAGATAGAGATCTGCAGGGAGAAAGGCTGGATGGTCCAGATCAACTGGTTTGTTCACCTGGTCCTGGGAATCAAACAGGGCGTAGACAAACGGTCCACGTAGACCCAGTCTGACAGGTGGGGGTCACGGAGGGGTCACGGAGGTGTTTGACCAAGTAGAGTCTCAGGTTACCTCTGTGTCACCTACTTCTGTTCTAATCACATGAATGTGGTGGATTTTTAAAGAGTGTTTTTGTTGTGTTGACTTTTTAACTTTTTTAAAGCTGAGCTTCAAACATATCGTTGTTTTTATCTTGTCACGTGACGTCTTTTAGCTCCGCCTCCACTCATACTGTACCTGATGTTGATTTTCGTTGATGTTGATCTGAACCATAGCAGCTGAATGAACACAGACCAACGAGGGCGCCTCCTACTGGACAAAATTAGCGTTTCATTAAAGCAAATTAAATGTTTAAAATGGACGTGTTCTGTGTGTGGTTCACATGACTGCAGTACCAGCTGACGTCACTGGTGTCTGTCAGCTGGTACTGATCCAGTTCCATTGTGTAATGAATTAACTAACTAACCCGGTTAAAAAAAACCAAACAGCAGTCGGTGAGTTAACAGTGTTTGACTAAACTCAGACTGACCCATGTCTCCAGACCACGGTTCCTGTCAACGCCTGTTTCTACAGTTCAAACTGGACCCTGGTCCTGGACTCTGGTTCTGAACCCTGGTACTAGACCCTGGTCCTGGACTCTGGTCCTGGACTCTGGTCCTGGACTCTGGTTCTGAACCCTGGTTCTGGACTCTGGTCCTGGACTCTGGTTCTGAACCCTGGTACTAGACCCTGGTCCTGGACTCTGGTCCTGGACTCTGGTTCTGGACCCTGGTTCTGGACCCTGGTTCTGGACCCTGGTTCTGGACTCTGGTCCTGGACCCTGGTCCTGGACTCTGGTTCTGAATCCTGGTACTGGACCTTAGTCCTGGACTCTGGTCCTGAACCCTGGTTCTGGACTTGGACCCTGGTTCTGAACCCTGGTACTGGACCCTGGTTCTGGACTCTGGTCCTGGACCCTGGTTCTGAACCCTGGTACTGGACCCTGGTTCTAGACTCTGGTCCTGGACCCTGGTTCTGGACTCTGGTCCTGGACCCTGGTTCTGAACCCTGGTACTGGACCCTGGTTCTGGACCCTGGTCCTGGACCCTGGTTCTGGACTCTGGTCCTGGAGCCTGGTCCTGGACAGAGACACCACTTCCTGTCAGAGGACGAGACTTCCTTTCTTGATACTGGTCTTTCTTTTCTCTCATGTTGTCAGTGGTTCTCTCTGATTGGTCAGTCGTCTCTGTGTGTCTGTGGTGGTCAGTTAATGCTCCAGTAATCTCAGCTCCTCTCGGCTCAACACCTGATGCACTGACAATATGCTG